ACTTTGACCGAAACATGATGGCCAGATCAAAACGGAATTGATAGAATCTGTAAATATGAGCTTTTACAGCATACCTCTAACATGATGGCCGTCGTGAGCAGTTTTGCCAGAGGGGAGGATGTGCGGTTCCCATGTTGTGTTGGGTATAGAAAGGGCGTGTGGGCCTATTGGGTTGGATCCGGTTAGATGTCCTGGTGAAAGAGAAGGTGAGTTGGGTATATAGACGGGTTGGGCCAAGGGTGGAGGAGGCGGCCCACAGATGAGAGGAGAAAGGTCTGGGCTGGACAATGGTCCCAAATTTCGGCCCGCCTGAGGTTTAGAAGAGATTGGGCCATTTGTCAAGTTGGAAGAGTTTGAATTGGGCCCACGCATTGGCCCAAATTGCTGGCCCACCTAAAGTTGAGCTAAGGGTAAATTGTTTGCAAAATGGATAAGGTTTGGTTGGTGAGAGACCGCCGAGTGGAGCTCTGTGATTGTCGAGATTGGAAAGGGTCTCGCCGGTATTAAACCGAAATGTTCCGGCCAAGTGTTTCCAGCAAATTGACCGATCGGAGTTGCAGGTACGGTAGGTGGGACTGAGCTACCCAAGCCAAAAGCACTTACGAGCGGCGGCGTTGGAGAAGGAAAAATTGGGCCTGCGTTTGACTGGCGCCGGTCGTTCGAATGGAGGATGGTTCTGAAAGCTTTTTTTAGATTGTTGGTTCATGAGGAGAGTTTGGTATGGAGGTCGACTGAGTGTGGAAATTTCGCGTCCATGAGGTGGCGAAGATAAGGAATTTGGGAGAAAAAGACAGTGAGTAAGGGTGGGCCGACCCCACGGACGGGCGGCTCGCCGCCGGCGACGACGGGCGCCGGCGAGATTAACTGAAAGAAGTGACTGGAGGGTGGGATAGGGAGGTGGGGAAGAGGAAGAGAGGAGGGTTTTTTTACAGAGAGAGAGCTAGAGAGAGGTAGGAGCATTCTCTCCTACCATGTGCATCTTTGCCATATGCAATTTTGTAACCAACTTACTATCAAATAAAAGCAATTCAATATGAAGTATATACAATAATAAACGCTAGTTGAAATGCATCACTATCTACTACCAAAAAAAAAAAATGAGCAACTCGATCAAACCCAAAATGTTATAAGAAGGATAATACATATATTAATTAACAAAGAGCATATTGAAAGAGGCATATTGAAAGAGAGAAAGGAGAAAAAACATTTCCTAACATTACTGGGTTGTCAACGACACAAATTAATCATTTTGTATACATGTGTGTTTGTGCTATTCACAGACTGAAGTGTGGTGGAACATAGCCTATTTAACGGCTCTCTTAATAATATTTGCATGCACGATAACTCAACTA